TTTATTCATTACGAAGATTATAAAATGTTGAATAGAGTTGGAGTGTGATATAATTTGCATCTTGTGTGGTTTTGAAACCAGGTCATACCTTTGATTTGCATTAAGTCGAATAGGGTTAACAAGAGATCAAACAGAATTTACCTGTGTGAAAATTACCTGTTCTGGTCTCACACAATACGTGAATAGGAGTGTTGTTTGACGTATACGTAAAACCTATAGTCGGACCGTGTACTTTGGTTTGTTATGTCTATATGAGTAATTCATTTATTTTTTACATCTTTGATAAGGATAAATATATAATCTGTAGCGTAACAATATGTTATTTACGAGGGAGGAGTTTAGCGGGTTCATTTGTGGAGGCTAATGTTCCTTAGCTGACCAAACACCGTCACATCTGATGGGTCGTATAAGGTCGAGACTCTTCGTATCCTCATACCTACTACCGGATCTAGAGACGTGTTCATGATTAAAATTAGAGAAGGTCAATCAATTTCGGGAAAAAAAATCAATTCTAGGAGTCAAATCGCTTAATTTATGACACAGGGTGTTTAACGCGCGTTGATGGGACCTGGACTCTTTCTGTTGTATGCCCAAATCCAAGATGGCTGTCATCACCAGAATGAGCTGCATTTATCATAGTACTGTACATATCAATTTGACTTCAGAAAACTTACATGGATTGTTCGTTCGTAGGTTTTCATTGATGATGATTCCAGAGTCATATCATGTTCTGAAATAAAATGCGAAAACAATTTTTAAAACCAAGATTTATTGAAAAACAGTCTTTAACTAATTACGTACGTTAACAAATAAAGCCCTCGTGAAATATTAACACATGTACCTGTGCAATCTAAAACATCAGGATCAGTGAATGTTTAGGTTCAAGGACAACCTTTCCACCGTCTGGGGAAATCGAAGCGACAACCGATTTGCATTTTTGTTTTTTCATTGATAGATTTTCAGCTCTGATATGAGTTTTTTCTAAACATGTAACTACATTTATCTTGAAATTTTAATTCCTGGAAAATCAGTGGATAGGGATTAACGTGCATACATTTCGCCAGAACTATTCGTCAATACGGTTGTCTGAAACCCACTGCATTACATTTTTTTTATGTAGTAACTTATATTCTGTCGGTTTGTTTAACCAAAAAGTAAGCAGTGCTAATAAAAAAACCAGTTTCAGTAGATAAAGGTTACGGTACTGGTTCCCCCAAAACCGGAAGTTGGAAGAGGAAACTCTCAGCGTTACGTAGACCAGTGTACATGGTATACGTATGTCATCAGGCGAAACTGCACACACAAAGGAAGTTTCTAGTCAGGACCGGTTATCAGAGCATTTTATCTTTACTACAGCAGCACAAATAATAAAGTGTGCTTGTTTGTGCAAATAAATGTAAATGGTATATCTAGGTGTTTGAGCGTGCACAGTAAGCGAGGGTCTGAGCGAGAGTTCTGCTTAGGGGAAACATCTTGGGAAGTCTCCGCGACACAAATAAATTGCGGTTTTGCTACAACTTTTACTTTTGTCAGAGATTCAAAGACGACATCTCCTGAACATAGAAACACAATTTTGCGATACGTGCGGGTCGATGGTTGATCACCGCCCCACTTATTCCGTGTCGGTGCATCCTGTCATTGACAGGTAACTTCGCCTGCGGTTGATTGTCAATTTTGTCTCCTGAATGGGTATTTTTTCCTTCGGTTGATCATTATGAAACCATTGCCATAAAATCAATGAATGGTGTTTTTAAGAACTATTGGAAAACTTACACGTTTCGTACTCCAGGGCATGAACATAGACTTTTTAAACTGATGCAGACGTCTCTGTGTCATTTACGCGCCGAATGGTTTATTGTATACTTCCGACATGAAATCACTCAATTGACGCTAGGTGTCAGGTGTATCAATTTAGGTACATTTAAATCAAAAATGAATTGCTAGAAACGAAACAGTTGTCATTTTAAAATGAATATTTAATTGCCCGAAGGCTGAATATATGATATTTGAAATTTCGACTTTTACGATCGAATTATTTTGAGTTTTGAGTTTTCATTATTTATAGAAAGGTGCGAATGACACATATTCCCGGTCGTTAACATAAACACTGTCAAAAATCCAAACCAAACTTAAAACAAATCGAAAATGTTATATACTTTTAGTACAGTGACACTACCTTCGTCCGAACGTGTTGATTACAAAACCGAAGGCATAGATTAAAAATTAAGTAATTTTGACTCTTTTATGCTTTTTACTATTTATTATAAATGATATAAGCGCGAAAATGTGCTAACGGAAAGACATTGACACTTTATGATATATATTATATGTCCTCAAAGACAACGCGAAAACGTCCTCACCGCAGCCACTTGTTGTTATCATAAAGAATTTTATGATAAAAGTGCTAAATTTGAACTTTGATTTAATATTATCATTATATTCGTTTTTTGGCGTATTTTAACCTATAAACTTTCATTCAATCTATACCGGCGTGTGACATAAATATAATTAATATCCTGGAACTATATGTGTAAATTGTTTCTCCTGAACTTGTGTCAATTTAGATAAGTTCCATTTATGAAGCTTTTCCTTTAAAGTCGACATGTGTCATTGTTGTCAGATTAACTCATGTATTTACTTTGTACATCTTATACCATATATCTTTCAACTTAATTATATTACGTAACAGGATTAACTTGTCTTACCAGATCGGACACTGCATTCAGTCTCCGACAAAAGACAGCTCAATTGGCTTACCTGGTCGGGGTACGGCCGAAGTCTGAAAAGGCCGATTGCTATGAATGACAGATGTCACTCAAACTAATTACTTAATTGCTTTTGTGTAAATGTACTTAGGACACGATTACGATTTGTAACAGCAGTTAGGAGCTAGGCATCGGACTGTACTGGTGTATTTTTGGATACTCCAGAAATCACCCACCGACCTAGAGAAAGTTATTTTAATAAATTTATATTTGGACCATACAACATCTCCAGAACTTTTACTTTTCAAATTGTTTAACAATACCCCACAAAAGTGTTGTTATATTGTAATAAGCCAAAAGAGTAAAGTTTCTGGAATGTGGACGATCCGGAAAACATGCATTTTCCGAATCCCATGAAGTTATATTTTAGATACTTCATGTACTTATTACTGAATTAAACCCAATGTTCATGAAAAAAAAAAATGTGTTTAGAGACAAAAATCTAAATACATTTCGCTGTCTGGAGCTGTCATTTCGGGATTAAACATTCGTTTGTTATTGTCTCTGTAATTTTAGAGTCCAGTTTCCATAGACGTAAGAGGCCAGTATTTGACACTTCACATTAATGAACCCCAGCTCTATACATATATCTGAAGTATATGTGTTACAGGGACGGTGACGGGAACCTGTTTTTTCCCCCCTATACAATATAACTGTGGTCGGGTTTCAGTATACCACACATGGAGAGATGGGTAATTAAATAATCGTAAATAATGTCTTTGTCAACAGTAGATATCGTATACCGCTGAGTGGCCCAGTTAAGGGGACTAATGTGTCCTCGTTACATGGTTATTGTCAACAACTTAGGTTTCGAGAGGTTTTCATTTTCGCGTCAGTTAGCGAAGTAAGTACATCGCGAAGTAAGTACATCGCGAATTAAATAGAATTTCGATGTTCGAGAATGGGTCGTTTGAGGCAGAAGCACAACGATTTCATTTTTAATGCCACAAAATGTCCGTTTATTACAACCTAAGGACGCTTACAAATTGTGTGATCTTTACTAGCAAAGGACGTTTCAAAGATGTCCAATCTTTCCTATCTAAGGACTCGTACAAGATGTCGTATCAAAGCTAAATTGCAAGCTGTATAAACTTCAGCGTCCAACAAAACACGACAACACAGAGATGGTGAAATAATACATGTATCTCCCTTCAAAATCTCGCGATGCCGACATTTATTATACATGTACATCTCAACAACTCTAACAGAAAGGCACTGAAGCTGATATGCTCCGTTATTTTAGGGGATGAGGACAGGGGTGGGGGTTTAGTGTTACCGGCATTTCCGCCCGTTGCATCAATCCCGTCCCGAGACACTGTCATTTTTGTTTTTTTAACAGAATTTGATCAACTTCACGCCGAAATATGAAAACATCTCAAGAGTACTGGTTCAGAGCCGAGATCTCCATCATTACTATTTATTGAAAAGCGTCAACCAAATCAGAAGCATCACTCAATCAGCTTCATTTCATAACAGATTTTGATCAAACATGATGCCAAGGTTGACTAGGTAACTCCGTGTTTTAGGCTGCTAAGTCTAAGGTCACCACTTCTATTTATAGAAAAAATGTCAAATAAAGAACTTAATTTGCATGAGCTCGTAGCCATTCATGTTTACAGACATTTTATGATATTTACCATTATTACCCAATAGTCTATATACATTATAATTAGTCATTTGACTGTTTCTGGCCTTTTGTCCAATTTCGGCTGTAGGGGTGAACCAGTCAAAACTGTTTTCCCGGTCAGAGCGAACTGTTACCCGGCGCGAATTCAATGCGCAGAAATCCACCCTCGAGAGCCCCATTCAAGCGTTTCGGTGACCGCGACTCAGTGTTGAAGCAATGGCATCAGTGCAAGCAGCATTGATACTAATATTTATTTGGTAATAAAACAAGTGTTTCATGGCTATTTGGGGAACAGTCTCAAACAATCATCCCTCGGTAGGTCCCAGGAAGCCACGTGGAACTGTTTGCCCTTGGCCTAGCGGCCTCAGGCAAACAGTTCCCCAGGGCTCCCCCTACCTCGGGATGATAGTTTTGACTGTTCCCCTAATAGCCATGAAACAATTGTATACTGTTAATGAATTTCCTATGACATAAACAGACACCAAAAATGGTAAAAATAAGTATTAACTACTTTTTGTTGGCATCCATAGGCAACATGAATACCAATTTGACAAAGTCTCATAGTTTCCAAGCCATTTTACAATCTAATTTTTATATTTTATTTTCAGATTTCGATATAACCATTCCAAAATTGTATGACTCGGAAGGACATTATGTCTCACACGAACAATTACGTCTTCATTTCCATCAACAACAATTCCATCACCCTGGCAACAGGGAAAGACGAGATACGTCATATCAAAAACCTAACGTTAGTGAATTACAAGCGGACGTGGAAGGATTCGGACATAAGTTTCAAATTAAACTGTGGCAGAATCAGCAATTGTTAGCGCCAGGATTTAAAGTTTATAGGCGTGGTCACCAAAGACATGGCATGCAAGAAGACCAAGCGGAGACAACTCGAGCTTGGTCACAATCTCAGTGCCAGTATACCGGAAGTGTGACGTCACACAACGGTGCTCCAGTCTCGATTTCACTGTGTGATGGCGTTGTGAGTATTATTTTTCAATTTTCAATTGCAGAAATAGTTTCAAAAAACAAAACAAATTTATCAGACAAAAAATTCCCAATGTCAGTAATTCGTGGTTATTATAACGTCAAAAGAAGTTAGTACATGTAGTTAAAATGAAAACTATGAAAGTGACGTAATATCCTCTGAGGGTTGTTACAAATATTCAACACACATCCTGTCCATGCGAACTCAAATATTCCATATTTGTGGCACTAATTTAGCTAAAATGTCGTACTGTAATTGTTTTAGAATACAATACAAATGACGTCAATGTTATTTTGATAAATTATCAAACGACTTGAACTGTGATAATAAATGTTAGATGTGTGTAGATCATTGTATATAATACGTGTTAACTGTACTAATACCAATAGATCTGGCGACTTGTCCTGTGTTAACTGTACGTAATACCAATAGATCTGACGACTTGTCCTGTGTTAACTGTACGTAATACCAATAGACTTGTCCCGTGTTAACTGTACCTACTACTACTAGTTCTAGTAACTTATCCCTTGTCAACTGTACGTAATATTAATAGATCTAGCGACTTGTCCTGAGTTAACTGTACGTAATACCAATATATCTGTCGACTTGTCCCGTGTTAACTGTACGTAATATCAATAGATCTGGCGACTTGTCCCTTGTTAACTGTACGTAATATCAATAGATCTGTCGACTTGTCCCTTGTTAACTGTACGTAATACCAATAGACTTGTCCCGTGTTAACTGTACATAATTCCAATAGATCTAGCGACTTGTCCTGAGTTAACTGTACGTAATACCAATAGACTTGGCCTGTGTTAACTGTACGTAATATCAATAGATCTAGCGACTTGTCCTGCGTTTACTGTACGTAATACCAATAGATCCGCGACTTGTCCTGTGTTAACTGTTCGTAATACCAATATATCTAGCGACTTGTCCTGCGTTAACTGTACGAAATACCAATGGACTTGTCCTGTGTTAACTGTAAGTAATATCAATAGATCTGTCGACTTGTCCCTTGTTAACTGTACGTAATACCAATAGATCTGACGACTTGTCATGTGTTAACTGTACGTAATACCAGTAGATCTGACGACTTGTCCTGTGTTAACTGTACATAATACCAATAGACTTGTCCTTTGTTAACTGTACGTAATATCAATAGATCTAGCGACTTGTCCTGTGTTAACTGTTCGTAATACCAATATATCTAGCGACTTGTCCTGCGTTAACTGTACGTAATACCAATGGACTTGTCCTGTGTTAACTGTACGTAATATCAATAGATCTAGCGACTTGTCCTGTGTTAACTGTTCGTAATACCAATAGATCTAGTGACTTATCCCTTGTTAACTGTACGTAATACCAATATATCTATCGACTTGTTCCGTGTTAACTGTACGTAATACCAATAGATCTATCGACTTGTCCTGTGTTAACTGTACGTAATACCAATATATCTATCGTCTTGTCCCGTGTTAACTGTACGTAATACCAATAGATCTATCGACTTGTCCTGTGTTAACTGTACGTAATACCAATAGATCTAGCGACTTGTCCTGCGTTAACTGTACGTAATACCAATATATCTATCGACTTGTCCCGTGTTAACTGTACGTAATACCAATAGATCTAGCAACTTGTCCCGTGTTAACTGTACGTAATACCAATCGATCTAGCGACTTGTCCCGTGTAAACTGTACGTAATATCAATAGATCTAGCGACTTGTCCTGCGTTAACTGTACATAATACCAATAGACTTGTCCTGTGTTAACTGTACGTAATATCAATAGATCGAGCGACTTGTCCCGTGTAAACTGTACGTAATACCAATAGATATAGCGACTTGTCCTGTATTAACTGTACGTAATACCAATAGATATAGCGACTTGTCCCGTGTTAACTGTACGTAATATCAATAGATCTAGCGACTTGTTCCGTGTTAACTGTACGTAATACCAATAGATCTATCGACTTGTCCTGTGTTAACTGTACGTAATACCAATAGACTTGTCCCGTGTTAACTGTACGTAATACCAATAGATCTAGTGACTTGTCCCGTGTTAACTGTGCATAATTCCAATAGACTTGTCCTGTGTTAACTGTACGTAATATCAATAGATCGAGCGACTTGTCCCGTGTAAACTGTACGTAATACCAATAGACTTGTCCTGTGTTAACTGTACGTAATATCAATAGATCTAGCGACTTGTTCCGTGTTAACTGTACGTAATACCAATAGATCTAGAGACTTGTCCCGTGTTAACTGTACGTAATATCAATAGATCTAGCGACTTGTCCCGTGTTAACTGTTCGTAATACCAATAGATCTAGCGACTTTTCCCGTGTAAACTGTACGCAATACCAATGGACTTGTCCTGTGTTAACTGTACGTAATATCAATAGATCGAGCGACTTGTCCCGTGTAAACTGTACGTAATACCAATAGACTTGTCCTGTGTTAACTGTACGTAATACCAATAGATCGAGCGACTTGTCCCGTGTTAACTGTACGTAATACCAATCGATCTAGCGACTTGTCCCGTGTAAACTGTACGTAATATCAATAGATCTAGCGACTTGTCCTGCGTTAACTGTACATAATACCAATAGACTTGTCCTGTGTTAACTGTACGTAATACCAATAGATCGAGCGACTTTTCCCGTGTAAACTGTACGTAATACCAAAATACTTGTCCTGTGTTAACTGTACGTAATATCAATAGATCTAGCGACTTGTTCCGTGTTAACTGTACGTAATACCAATAGATCTATCGACTTGTCCTGTGTTAACTGTACGTAATACCAATATATCTATCGACTTGTCCCGTGTTAACTGTACGTAATACCAATAGGTCTAGCGACTTGTCCCGTGTAAACTGTACGTAATACCAATAGACTTGTCCTGTGTTAACTGTACGTAATACCAATAGATCGAGCGACTTGTCCCGTGTAAACTGTACGTAATACCAATAGATCTAGCGACTTGTCCTGTATTAACTGTTCGTAATACCAATAGATCTAGTGACTTGTCCTGTATTAACTGTTCGTAATACCAATAGATCTAGCGACTTGTCCCGTGTTAGCTGTACGTAATACCAATAGATCTGTACGTAATATCAATAGATCTAGTGGCTTTAATAGATCTAGTGACTTGTCCCGTGGTAACTGTACGTAATACCAATAGGTCTAGCGACTTGTCCCGTGTTACCTGTACGTAATACCAATATATCTAGCGACTTGTCCTGTGTTAACTGTTCGTAATACCAATAGATCTAGAGACTTGTCCCGTGTTAACTGTACGTAATACCAATAGATCTAGCGACTTGTCCTGTATTAATTGTACGTAATACCAATAGATCTAGCGACTTGTCCCGTGTTAACTGTACATAAGACCAATAGATCTAGCGACTTGTCCCGTGTTAACTGTACATAATACAAATAGATCTAGCGACTTATCCCTTGTTAACTGTACGTAATATCAATTTATCTAGCGACTTGTCCCGTGTTAACTGTACGTAATACCAATAGATCTAGGGACTTGTTCCGTGTTAACTGTACATAATACCAATAGAGTTGTCCCGTGTTAACTGTTCGTAATACCAATAGATCTAGCGACTTGTCCCGTGTTACCTGTACGTAATACCAATAGATCTAGCGACTTGTTCCGTGTTAACTGTACGTAATACCAATAGATCTAGGGACTTGTTCCGTGTTAACTGTACATAATACCAATAGAGTTGTCCCGTGTTAACTGTTCGTAATACCAATAGATCTAGCGACTTGTCCTGTGTTAACTATACGTAATACCAATAGATCTAGCGACTTGTCCTGTATTAATTGTACGTAATACCAATAGATCGAGCGACTTGTCCCGTGTAAACTGTACGTAATACCAATAGACTTGTCCTGTGTTAACTGTACGTAATATCAATAGATCTAGCGACTTGTTCCGTGTTAACTGTACGTAATACCAATAGATCTAGGGACTTGTTCCGTGTTAACTGTACATAATACCAATAGAGTTGTCCCGTGTTAACTGTTCGTAATACCAATAGATCTAGCGACTTGTCCTGTGTTAACTGTACATAATACCAATAGACTTGTCCCGTGTTAACTGTACATAATACCAATAGACTTATCCCTTGTTAACTGTACGTAATACCAATTGATCTAGCGACTTGTCCCGTGTAACCTGAAGTAATACCAATAGATCTAGCGACTTGTCCTGTGTTAACTGTTCGTAATACCAATAGATCTAGTGACTTGTCCCGTGTTAACTGTACATAATACCAATAGATCTAGTGACTTATCCCTTGTCAACTGTACGTAATATCAATAGATCTAGCGACTTGTTCCGTGTTAACTGTACGTAATACCAATAGATCTAGGGACTTGTTCCGTGTTAACTGTACATAATACCAATAGACTTGTCCTGTGTTAACTGTACGTAATACCAATAGACTTGTCCCGTGTTAACTGTACGTAATACCAATAGATCTAGGGACTTGTTCCGTGTTAACTGTACATAATACCAATAGAGTTGTCCCGTGTTAACTGTTCGTAATACCAATAGATCTAGCGACTTGTCCTGTGTTAACTATACGTAATACCAATAGATCTAGCGACTTGTCCTGTGTTAACAGTACGTAATACCAATAGATCTAGCGACTTGTCCTGTGTTAACAGTACGTAATACCAATAGATCTAGCGACTTGTCCCTTGTTAACTGTACGTAATACCAATAGATCTAGCGACTTGTTCCGTGTTAACTGTACGTAATACCAATAGATCTAGTGACTTATCCCTTGTCAACTGTACGTAATATTAATAGATCTAGCGACTTGTCCTGTGTTAACTGTACGTCATACCAATAGATCTAGCGACTTGTCCCGTGAAGCCTTGATTAAACTCCATTGATATTTACTTCCAGGTGTAACAATAATTTGTAATCAAAATGAAATAAAGTGCTCGTACTGAAGTGTGAAAGTAT